GTTCAGTGATTTTGCGTCCGGTTCTGACGTCCTGTTGGGACTGCTCTGCTTACCTGGGCTGTTTGGTTGGGTCTCCCTTGAGAGACGTCGTCCTTAGCTCTGACTGGAGCTAACCACTTGTTCCCTCCCTCCTCTCGTGGGGGCCTCGCAGCCGGCTGAGCAGGGCCGGGGCGGCCCCCTCCCAAGGACGGACCTTCCTGAGTGTCCCCTGCCGCCAGCACCAGCAGGGCCTCTGCACGCTGCCGGTCAGAGCCCCGGCGTCTCCCGGCCGCGGGAGTCCCGGGAACATCCGCCTCACAGCGTCCCTCGGGCCAGCGGGGGATTTTGTCCTCCAGGTGCTTGGCGGGGGATTCGCGGAGACGCAAGGGGACCCTTCTGCAGAATTTGCAGGGTCTCGTATGATCCGTGCAGCCGCCCCCCGCACTCGGCCTGCAGCCTCCCCGCCCAAGCGCTCCAGAGCCCTGGCCTCCTGCTCCGGACCCGGCCGGATTCCCGCGTCTGCCTGGTCCCCTGTCCCTGCTCTGCTGCCCTGGGTGTGCCCACAGGACACAGCTGGCATGGCGTGAATTTCGTGGGTCGCTTCCCTCGGGCGGGATCACGGTTCCCTACGGCGCAGTCCTGAGAACGCTGCCCCCCGCGCTTCCAGTGTCTGGAGTTTCTGGCCGGGGTAAGTCCAGGCTGTGCTGCTCCGCGCCGCCTGGAAGCAGAAGAGGCCAGTTCCCTCCTGAGGGACACTTAGGTTGTTTCCCAGCCTCTCTGTGCTGCCCAAGCTGCCAAGAGCACTCCACGCATGCCTGTCCTCACCCGGGAGGGCTGCGTGCGCCTGGACCCGACGGGGCGACGGTTCACAGCGTGTGACACTCGCCTGGCCATCGCCTCTGGAAAGGCCGCCCCTGTGCACGGTCCCTCGCACAGGGTGTCCCTACGTTCACATTTCCTCCGTCCCCTGGTCCTCCCTGGGTCCTCCTCCCTGCGACCTTCTCCCCCTGCCTCATCACACTCCCCGCCCCGGCCTCCCTCTCGGCCGTGTCTCTGTCCTGTGCACACTGAGATGTCCACACCGATGGCCGTCGCCCCTCTGGGCAGGTAGTTCCCCAGCTGTGGATCCCAGGGGCCTCGAAGCTCCCAGCAGCTCCCAAGGTGCAGTCACGTGTGGCTGTTCCCGGGGCCCCGTCCTATTCCCAGGGCCGGGGTCCGTTCATCATTGAAGCAGGACCGCAGGGGCCTGGTGTGCAGTGGTTTGCAGAACCCCCTGGAGCTCCCCTGGAGATGCCCAGCCCCGCCCCCACTTTAGGGCCAAGCCCCCTTTGCTCCTCCTGGGCTCGTGGCCCTGGCCTGGCCCAGGCTGTATGCCTCGGTTTCCTCACCAGGAGGGTGCATCCTGGTGGTCCCATGGTCAGGAGTGCTCTGACCTCGGCTCTTGCGAGGGTGAAGGGAGCTCCCCTGTCCAGGAGGGTAGGGGGTGCCCGGCCCGGGGCCTGTGGGGGTCGAGGGTCAGGTCCCTGCAGGGCCAGGACGGCGAGTGTGAGCTCTGGGATGCCTGGGCGCCTGGGCGACGCGGGACCCAAGGCTGCAGGCGAGGCTGGGACAGAGAGAGGGGTGATGGCTGTGCGGGGGTTGGGTGGGCAGACTGTGACGGGGCAGGGCGCGGCAGCCTGGCACAAGGCACAGAGCTTGGGGCCGGGAGAGCGCCAGAGGACGAGAAGGGAGGGAGAGCCAGGCTGCGGGGCGCTCAGAGTGTGGGGAGCTCGGAGGGGATGGCCGGTCCGGGCCGGAGGCCTAGCCTTGGCGGCGCGCTGCTCCGAGGGCAGGCTGGGCTTTCCAGCAGGTGCCTACCCTCCGGGAAGTCCCAGGCTGCCCCATGCAGGCCCTGACCCTCCTCTCAGCATCCAGCCCTCCCTGTCCCCCGGTCCTCCTCTTCTGTTCCCAGCCGCCCCCGCCCCACCTGGAGAGCAGGGCCGAGTCCTACAGATCCCACCTGTGCTTCCTGGACTGGTTCTTCGGGCCCCTCAGGCCCTCCCTGCCCTCACCTCTCGGTGGTGCCCACCTGAGTGACTCCAGGAGCCTCCCAGCAAGGTTCCAGCCACACGCTGTACCCTCTGCACAACCTGGACTGCACAGTCTTCAGAGCATGGGACATATCTGGTGTCTCCACCTCCCTCGGTGGCGGGGGACACAGGCAGATTCATATCCTGTCTCCTTCGTCCTCACCGGGAGTGGACCACAAGTGCCTGCCCCTCTGCAGCAATGCCCAGCGCACATGCTTTCTCAGAGAATGCCCTTCCGACCTCGTCCCCAACAGGCTCCTATTCATCCTCCACAGCCCCGTGTGGCATGTGCCATCCTCTACGAAAGCCCTCACCACAAGGCAGTACAAGTACCAGGCCCTTGCCTCTGAGCCCACAGCCCAGCAGGGCTGGCAGAGAGGGCAGCTGAGGCCTTGGGTGCACAGGAGTGGAGAGGGAGCCGCTGGGGTGGGCCTCAGGACGCCAGCCTCACCCCTCCGTATCTGGCCCCAGCACTGGATCCCCACAGCCCATCACACCCTCAGTGCAGACACCGCCCAGGAAGGGAAAGGGGAGACACCATCAGGGGTTTCCAGACAGGCCCTGGAGACTCTCCCACCAGGGAGGTCGGTGTGGGGCTGCCACAGCGAAGGGCACACGGCCCCGGGAGCCCAGGCTGGGGTGCGTGAAGGGCAGCCGGTGATGGGGGCTGGACTCTGGGTGGGTTCCCCACAAACCTCCGGGTGGGATGAGGGATGTGGTGGGGGAGGGCTGAGCCAGCCAGGGATGCTCCCTTGGGGCTGAGGCTCCCTGATCCCTGTGGGTAAGTCTGGGCCTGGCCATGCCTCAGTTTCCCCACTTGCCAGGGTGGGGTGGACCAGAGGGCCCTGAGGGTGTGTCTGCAGGGAGTGGTGGGCTGGGAGCCAGGCGTGGGAGAGTAGCAGGCCGCACCAGGTCTAGGGCCCACCCCTCGTCGGAATCCCCTGCCCCCACCCGAAGGGCGTCCTTGGGCTGGGAGGTGGCGCGCGGGGCGGGCAGTCCCAGCACCCGGGCGCCGCTGCCTTCCTAGGCACCTGCGAGCCGTGGGGTTTCTGCAGTGCTCCCCAGGGCATGGCGAGCGGGCGGAGGGTGCAGGGGGCGCCCCTTCCTCTTCCTTGGAAACCCCCACGTGGCTCTGTGGGTGGGGGACGCTCATGAGGGGCACTCGGGGCAGGGGCATGTTGGGGTGGGCACGGATATGGGGGACCCTGGTGCCGCCTGGAACCCCCGCTGCAGAGCATTGTGTTCTGGGCGCTGGGCTCATCTTCCCAGAGAAGGTGGCCAGTAGTGACCTCCCTCTGGTGCTGGGGACGCTTTGGCCCAACAGGACAGCACCATCCACCCCAACCTGCATCATGTCACCCCGTCCTTGTTCCTTCCCAGGGCACCCTCAGGAGTCCAATTCAGCAGTGACCATGGCCACACTGGTGGCTGTGGCCAGTGACACCCACAGTGACCCCTGCCAGGGGATGGTCCAGCCGGGGTCGTGGGGCAGCCCTGGCTGAGCCCGAGGGGCTGGGGACTTCCTTGCAGGGGGGCGGTTCACTGTCCCCTGGGCCCTGCTGCTCTTCTCCTGCAGACCAGGGTGGGCAGGATCCCATCGCCACGTCCAGCAGAGGCCACTGAGTCCCACTGGGCAGCACCCTGGAGAAGGACTATGGTTCAAAGTCAGGACCGGGAGAGGTTCCGGCTCAGGCCATCCAGCAGGTGGGCTGACCTGGGGTGGCTTCTGGACGTGGCCAAGCACTTGTCCTGGACTGGCCAAGCACGTGGGGGCCGTGTCTGGTCTGGCGAGGCAGCCCAGCGTGGAGCCGGGGAAGGAGGCCAGAGGGTGCTTGAGCCACACGCGGGACAGCATGTGACCGCGAGAGAAGTGCTGGGGCGGCCTGCCTGGTGCCGCCCCCTCGGCCTCCAGGGGCTGGCGGGCTCCCCCCATGAGTGCGCTGCGCCTGCTTGTCTGCAGGGCCCGGGCGTGTGGTCGTCCCCACGCCCCCGCCGGCCGCCCACCGCTCTGAGGGGAGGGCGTGGTGGGGGGGAAGCCCGCTGGGGACCTGGCCAGGGAGGCTGGGGCCCGGGTTCTGAGCCCCACAGCACCTGCAGCCTCTGTGGGTGCGGAGTGAGCCGGGCAGAGGCGGACGCATCTTGGGGGGCCCTCACTTCTATAGAAAACCCAGAGGGGGCTGCGGATGGTGCGAGGGGGAGGGTCTCCCTGCTGGGGCCCCTCCTGGCATCGCCCCCTGCGCTCCGCCAGCGCCAGTCCCCTGCGCGGCCGCCTGCCGCCCGCCGCCCGCTACTGCAGGCGGGCTGCGCACTGAAGTTTCTCTTTCCTTTTCTCTTTCAGCGGAAGGCGGCCTTGGCGTCAAGGCCCCTGCGGCAGTTCGTCCCACTGGCTGGCGGGGGTCCTGGGCCAGCCGCCAGGGCCGGAGGCGTCCTGATGAGGAACACGGAACCTCCTTGGGGCTGGGGGGCCCCTTCTAGGAGACCAGCGCCCAAAGCCGACGTCTTGCGGCTGGTGAGCCCCTGCCTCTGGCTGTCCCTGCCCCGGCTGCTGTGGACCCTGCCCTCCCCGCCCCTATGCTCCCAGCCACCTCCCCTCCCCCAGCCCCTGCCCTGGCCTCGGATTCCCAGCTCCCTCGCTGACCCAGTCGCCCCACCCCCCTCTGTCCTCACCACAGGGCTGGGGGTCCGGAAGGAGAGCCACAGCCCCACCCAGCAGACCTCCTTGGGGGCCCCGCCCTGCCCCAGCCCTCCCCTCCCCATCCAAGGGCAGCTGGTGGCCCCCCACGGCAGGTTGAGGGTGCTTCTGGGCCAGGTGGCGCTAGGGGAGCGCAGAGCCAGTGTCTCTGAGGGGCCCCGGAGCAGGTGGCCAGTCCTCCAGAAGCCCTGAGCCCATGATAAGCTCAGTGTCTGTCCACAGGATCAGGTCCAAGGTCCGGCCTGGGCGGGAACACCTCTAGCCAGGCTGGGCTCCTGCCTCCCCAGGAGCTCACCCCCAGGGAGCCCCACGCTGCCAGGCCCTCCGCCCTGGAACCAGGTCCCAGCAGGGCCACGCTCACCCCTGGGGCCCTGGCCAGCCTGTCTCCCCTGCCCGGGCCTTCCCCACCGCACAGAAGGGAGACCGACGCCTCGGGGCCATGCCTGGGCAGAGACCCGAGTCAGCCAGGGCAGCTCCTCCAGGCCAACTCCTGTCCTGGCCCCTCAGGCGCTGTATCTCCTCTTCCTGGGATCCCCCCGCTGCGCCCCAGCCCTGCCATCCTGCAAGGAGGAGGAGTTCCCGGTGGGCACCGAATGCTGCCCCAAGTGCAGCCCGGGTAGGCGCAGCCCTGGGAGGGGCCGGCGCTGGGGGCCAAGGGCAGACACTCTCGTACCCTCCCTGCCCTGCCCTGGAGCCCCCTCTGTTCTCTGTCCCCACAACCATGGGTGGCGTGAGGCCCCGGGCCCAGGGGCACAGACAGTGGGGATGTGACGCGGGTGGGCCCATCACAACCAGAGGCTGAGGCCTGGGGGGTGCATGCCAGGATACCAGGAGCTCCACATTCTTCCAGAGCTTTCCAACTCCCCCAAAGCAGGCACACTTGTAGAAGGCAGCTGGGGCCAAGGCGCCCCGTGGGGACCAGCCCAGCTGCCCCTGAGTCCCCGTGGCTGGTGGTCTACCTGCTCGGCGGGAGGGGCGGGTGCAGTGCTGAGAGCCGCGACGCTCTGGGCTGTAGGCTACCACGTGAGGCAGGCCTGCGGCGAGCTGACGGGCACGGTGTGTGTGCCCTGCCCCCCGAGGACCTACACCGCCCACCACAACGGCCTGAGCGAGTGTCTGCCGTGCCGCGTGTGCGACCCAGGTACGAGGGCCACCCCCCGCCAGCACCACCCCCAGCCAAGCACCCAGAGGCCCTGGCCCAGCCCATCTCCACGGGGCTCCCTGCAGGGATCGCCTTCTGTCATTTGTCACCTGGGCCTTCCCAAGTTCAGCACCTGGCCATCGCCCCGCTGCCAGCCCTGTCCCAGGAGAGCCAGGTCTCCAGGCTCTGCGTCAGATGTGTGGTCAGCATTAGCCTCGCCCCACGAGAAGGCAGGGCAGGGGACTGCCCATTGTACAGACGGGCAGGCTGAGGCCCAGTTACCCAGCGACAGAGCCAGACAACCCCCCTGGCCTCCGGCCCCTCTCCCGTGGCTGCAGACTCAGGACAGCGGGGGAGGGGTGGGAGCGGACCCAGATTAGACGGAAGGCAGGCCCAGGCCCCCAGCCCCCACCAGTGCCCACCCTCAGATAGCCAGGCCGGGGCTCAGCCGCGGGAAGTGCCCCACGGAGGGCCAGGCAGGACCAGGGCTGACGGCTCCCAGGAGCCAGCACCTGGGAGCAGGCGGGCTGAGGAGGAAGGCCAGAGACAAGAAGGAGGCCGAGTGCTTTGGGGCCTCATGTAGGTGGGGATTGGGGGCCCACACCCCAACCTGCACCCACAGTTCCTGCTCCCCCAACCTTGAGAAAGCACCTGTCTCACTGGGCTCAGGGTACGGGGCACAGACAGCAGGTGAGGCTGTGCCTCCGGCGGGGCCCAGGCCCAGGCGCAGGCTCTCGCTATGGTGCCTCCGCCATCTGAACAGCGTAGAGGGGAAGCCTGTGTGAGGGTGGGTGTCCAGGGGCAGGCGCACCGGGGGCTGGGACCTGTCCCCCACATGCCCCGTAGCTGACACTGCAGTTTCAGTGTCCTTCTGGGCCAGTTTGGGCAGAAGGCCAGCTTCCCCCAGAGGCCTGGCTCCCTGTCCCCTCCCAGGACCCCCCGAGGCCCTCGTCCCGCCTGCTACTGCTGGGCCTTGGAGCCCTTTGGGACTCAGGCCCCCGGTCTGGCACCTCTGGGCACCGTGTTTGTCTGAGCCGGGCGGTGCAGGGTCCCTGGGGGCAGAGTCTGGGGCCCAGACACTCAGGCGAGCCAGGTCTCAAGGCTGGACTGAGGCCCAGTCCCCTCCCAGACCCCAGGCAGGAGCCCCCAGGCCCCTGGGTGCTCGGCCCCTCCCAGGACGGGGCCTCGACCCTGCCCCCGGCACCCCGGCTGCTGCCCTCAGGCCCGTGTCTTGTACCCCAGCCATGGGCCTAGTCACCAGGCAGAACTGCTCCAGGACGGAAAACACCCTGTGTGGCTGCAGCCGCGGCCACTTCTGCGAGGATGGTGACCACTGCGCCGCGTGCCGGTCCCACACCTTGTGCCCCCCAGGCCAGAGGGTACAGGAGAGAGGTGAGCCGGCAGGTGGCTATGCCCATGCCAGAGTCCCCTGACCCAGTGTCCCCGCCTGACCCCAGGCCCCCTCCCAGCCTGGTGCCCGAGGCCGCCCCTGACCGCCCGCTCCATTGCTCAGGCACCGAGAGGCAGGACACGGTGTGTCAGGACTGCCCCCCAGAGACCTTCTCTCCCAGCGGGAGCCTGGAGGAATGTCAGCCCTGGACCAAGTAGGTGACCCAGGGTGGCCTCAGGGGCCTCCATGCTGCTCCCACGGGAGTTGGCCGCCCGCCCTCAGCAGAGACCGGGCGGCTCCTCAGTCTCGTGCCAGCTCCTTGGGGAGCCCGGAGCGGTGCGGCCTGTGTCCCGCAGATAACACGCCGCCTTAGCCCCCGCGGCTCGCAGGTCTGGGCTTCCTGGAGGCCCAGGGAGGACATCACCCGGAGCAGCCCCAGAGGGCTGCCGCCAGATCCCCTGTCCCCTGGTGTCCCCTGTGGGAGGGCACCGTGGGCTTCTGGGGGTGGGGGGAGGCTGTCAGGTGCGGTTCCCAAAGTGAGGCCCCCACTCCTCCTGTGGCACGACCCCTTCCAATGCCGACCTGGGACCCCAGAGCTGACCTGGGACCTCACAGCCTCTGGGGTGGGCCGGGGTGGCTGCCCGGGGAGGAGTGCACAGGGCCCCGCGTCCTGCTCTGCCCTCCTGGTCCTCTCCCCAGCTCTGGCCCAGCCACCCTGGCCCTGGCTCTGTGTCCTCCCCGGCACGCTCTCCCTCTGTCCTCTGTCCTCTCCACACTGGCCTCTCCCTGCCTGGGATCTCTGGAGCCCTGGCTGCCCCCCTTCTCCCTCTTCGCCATCCGTCCCCCCTGCCCTGGCCTGTCCCTGGTTCCTTCCTCCACCCTCCCTCTCTGCATCTCCCCATAGTGGCACTTGGGAAAGCCAACCGGCCTGAGGCCACGTCCCAGAGCCGCCAACCAGGCCAGCCTCCCTGGGCCCCTGCCGGCTGGAGACGCCCAGCTCTGCGTGAGTGTCAGGCCCCTCACGGTGCCCACACCGCTGGCACCCAGGCTCCACGGCTGCTCTCACGCAGGTGCAGCGGCTGGTTTACGACAGAGACACCTGGGACCAGCAGCTCAGATGTCACCTGCTCCTCGAAGACGCCGCAGCTTCTTTGGGGCCTCATTTTTGTCATTGCCAGTGTTTTCATACTTGGCCTGGTGATATACAAACGGAAAAGAAGAAAGGCCAGCGGTGAGTGAGTCCGTCCGCTCCTTTCGGACCGGTGTCCCGGGCGTCTCTTCTCAAGCCCTTCCGTCGTCCTGTCCCTCCAAACCTGGGGAGGCGGCCCCCTCTCAGCGGCTGCTACAGGCCTGGGGGGGCTTCCTGCTGTGCCCAGAGCCCAGATGTCAGGTGTCCTCCCTGGGGGCTGAAGAGAAGGTGGGTCCCCTGACCAGGGAGCCCCCTGCCACTCGGTGCTGTGGACCCCGAGGGCCACCTGCTTGCGGGGCAGGGGGAGCACAGGGCCGGCTGTGTTATCGAGAGCAGGGCCAACAGCCACCCTGCCGCAGACAGGGCTGCGTCCCCACCGAGAAGACTAAGGTCACTCACTCCTTCACTCCTGTGCCCACTTACCTGCCCCGCTCAGGGCGCCTCGGCTGTGCCACAGCCCTGGAACCTGGGTCTCTGCTGTGCAGGCTCCAGGGAGCCCCGTGCACGCCCGCGGGAGCAGGCTCCGTGCCCAGAGATCCCGGGGGGAGGTCGCCACGCTCCCCGGCCCAGTGTCAGCACGTCCACCGCGTCCTCGCCGTGGGCCCCTGCGTGCAGGCAGCTCTTGGGGTCTCCGACACTGGCACAGGCCGGGGCGGCCCCATCCCCGTCTCACCCTGAGTCTGGGGCACCTGCTCCCTGGGGGTCCCTGTCTCCTCCCTGGAGAAAGGTTAAATTAGAGTTACGCACTCGGGGTGTGGCAGCTGGGAGGGAGACCAGGGTCTCCTCACCTGTGTGGGGCCCCCTCGGGGACAGGCCGAGCTGGGAGCCCGGACCACAGGTGGTTTCACCTTGTCTCAGAGAGGGCCAGTCTCTTGGGGAAGGCCACGCAGGGAGAAGCCAGGAGTGTGTGGATCCCCCCCATCACCGTGCACCTGTGTCCCCTGGCCCGGCGCTCGGGCCCCTCCCCTAACCGGTGTGTCTCTGCTTTGCAGGTGCCAAGGCCAAGGTAATGGTCTTCCCAGGTACCGTTCCTCGTCCTCCGTCTCCCCTCCCCACTGGGGTCGATGCTGCTGGGGGTGCACACGGGTGCCCAGCCCTGGGAGGGGCCCGAGTCCTCGGCGCACAGCCGCGCTGCCGCGGGAGGGAGCGCAACCCCTCCCACGAAAGTAGCAACAGGACCCCGAGAAACCGGAGACGGTGGGTGGGAGCCTCGGGAGGCCGGGTCTTTATGCCGCCTTCGCCCGCAGCGGGAGGCACGGGACACAGAGGGCGAGGCCACGGTCCTGCAGGCCCCGCCGGACGTCACCACGGTGGCCGTGGAGGAGACGGCACCCAAGTTCCCAGGGAGGGACCCAAACCGCTGATCCACAGGCTCTGGGACCAGACCTCTGAGGCATCTCAGGCGACACCTGCTGAAACCTGCAGTCCACCTGGTGGGACCGCGGGAGCCAGGCGAGCCCGGTGGCCTCTGCCCTGGACGGGCTCAGGCTCCAGCCTGCGGGAGAGATGGCACCGCCGGGGCTGCGGCTGCCACGCACCGCACTCAGTCAGACAGGGCCAGAGCCCCTCACCACAACGCTAGCTTCCCAGCCAGCCCAGTTCGGCCCAGCCCCGGCTCCCCGCCTTCCTGAATCCTGCCAGCCTCCGCTGCCGCGGCGCGTGGGAGGTGGCGGCAGGCACTACCTCACGGGCAGGAGCAGGCTGGCTGGCCCTGAGCATGGCATTAAACGAACACCCTGTTGTTTGAAGGGCATTTCTAACTTCCATTCGAATTCAGCTCCTTGTTGCTATTTATCAAGAAAGTGTCTCCGGGAGACCCTGTGAGACTCGCAAGGTCCTGCTGCTCACTGCGCTCTTGTCTGCCGACTGTTCTTCCCCGGGCAGCGATCACGGTGAGGTGCGCCCGTCACCACGCGGGTGTCGTCGCTCTAGGATTTCACCGGGGGCGGTGGGGAAGGCACACCCCCACGGCTGTCACAGGATGTGTGCTCAGGGGCACTCACGCGGCATCCGCAGCCCCAGCAGACGCGGCCGCGCCATTCTCGTCCGTCCCTTCTGCCCGTGCGACCCGCTCCCCGACAAAACCTGCTCCCGCCGCTCAGAGCACCTTCCCTCCGGGCTCCTGGAGGACACAGAGCCCTCCTGGAATTGCCCTCAGGAGAGTCCCGCGCTGACTGGGGTTCGGTCGTGGGTGCAGGTCCTCTTCTCTGTGGCTTCAGGCTTTGTGGTCCAAATACTGTGGACGGTGACGTGGGTCAGTTTTCCTTTCGTCTCTTTTTCAGTGTGGTTGTTGCGTTCATTCGAAATAGCATTTTACTCACTATCTGAGTATGAATTCTGTCTGCAGTTCTGTGTCCACCCCCGCTGACTCTCTGTCATCTGGCTGATGCATCTGTCTACCTATTTGCTTCCTAGTCTCTGGAACATTAGCAAGGGCTTAGACGTCCGTGTCAGTGGTCTAGACGCTGCCACGAGAGGGCAGAGATGGGCAGCTTGGTGACTGTGCTGTCCGCAGAATCCCGCCCTAAGCGAGCGAGCGGGCGATGGACAAGAACTCGTGCACTGGGACCGTGTCCAGAGCCTACGCCGTGGGCACGAGGACAAGGACCAGCCGTGCAGGGGCCACCACACGAAGGGCTCGGTCCGGCAGGAGGTCGTGCCAGTCTCCCGTGTGCACTCGCCTATGGACACCCAGCCAGCCCGAGGAGGGCCGGCCCCACGTGTAGTCACGGCGGGGGCTGTGACGCTGCTCTGGGGCTGGACGGAGCCAGCAGACTGAAGACCAGCAGGGACACAGGAGGCCTGAGCTGCATGTTCAAACCACTTGCTTTGTTCCGCTGACGCACATAGAACACTCCGGATGCGAGCCCGCACACCTGCTCTCAGGCGTCCCCGGTTGGAGGTCGTGCTGGGTGCCAGCGTGTCTCCAGGAATGGAAGAGCTCGGCGAGTGCGTGGGGGGGTGCTCCTCAGGTAGCCTCTGGCCCCCAACCGTTCATGCTACCTGAGGCTGCTGGAAGGCCCTGGAGTGTGTCCCCTGTGCCCCCCGGGCATGTCCCAGGGGTCCCCAGAGCGAGTGCGCTTATGGCCACAGCGCCCTGGCCACATGCAGCGTGCACTTGGAGTCCTCGGGGACCCCTGCTGTTTGCAACCCGGCAGGACACGACAGGACGCCCGTTACAGTGTTCAGACGTGTTGCCGTCGGGAGGCTCCTCATCCGGGGCGGCCACTTCCTGGAGAGCGAGCTCACCTGGTGTGTGCTGTTTTACACGACCCGCTGACACTCCAGGACACCATCGCTCTGCCCCAGTGGCCAAGGGCCCATCCCAGGCCACTAGGCGCAGCCCCTGCACCCAGAACCCGCTGAAATTGTTCAATCCTAACCCGCTGACCCCGCCTCGCCCAGCCCTTCCTGAGGAACCCACAGAATAAACCACAGAAAACCGCCATACAGGCTCACAACCCTTGGCATTGAGTCACCCCTTGGTGTGGAAACAGGGGCCCCTGCCCAGCGGTGCCAGGGCAGGCGCTCGCCCAGGGCTATGTCGCTGGGGAGGCAGGCCCTGGGTGGGGACGCGGCTGAGCGGCTGAGAGGGAGGCCGGGGCGGGGAGTGTGATGAGGCAGGGGGAGAAGGTCGCAGGGAGGAGCACCCAGGGAGGACCAGGGGACGGAGGAAATGTAAACGTAGGGACACCCTGTGCGAGGGACCGTGCACAGGGGCGGCCTTTCCAGAGGCGATGGCCAGGCGAGTGTCACACGCTGTGAACCGTCGCCCCGTCGGGTCCAGGCACACGCAGCCCTCCCGGGTGAGGACAGGCATGCGTGGAGTGCTCCTGGCAGCCTGGGCAGCACAGAGAGGCTGGGAAACAACCTAAGTGTCCCTCAGGAGGGAACTGGCCTCTTCTGCTTCCAGCCGGCGCGGAGCAGCACAGCCTGGACTTACCCCGGCCAGAAACTCCAGACACTGGAAGCGCGGGGGGCAGCGTTCTCAGGACTGCGCCGTAGGGAACCGTGATCCCGCCCGAGAGAAGCGACCCACGAAATTCACACCATCCCAGCCGTGCCCTGTGGGCACACCCAGGGCAGCAGAGCAGGGACAGGGGACCAGGCAGACGCGGGAATCCGGCCGGGTCCGGAGCAGGAGGCCAGGGCTCTGGAGCGCTTGGGCGGGGAGGCTGCAGGCCGAGTGCGGGGGGCGGCTGCACGGACCATACGAGACCCTGCAAATTCTGCAGAAGGGTCCCCTTGCGTCTCCGCAAATCCCCCGCCAAGCACCTGGAGGACAAAATCCCCCGCTGGCCCGAGGGACGCTGTGAGGCGGATGTTCCCGGGACTCCCGCGGCCGGGAGACACCGGGGCTCTGACCGGCAGCGTGCAGAGGCCCTGCTGGTGCTGGCGGCAGGGGACACTCAGGAAGGCCCGTCCTCGGGAGGGGGCCGCCCCGGCCCTGCTCAGCCGGCTGCGAGGCCCCCACGAGAGGAGGGAGGGAACAAGTGATTAGCTCCAGCCAGAGCTAAGGACGACGTCTCTCAAGGGAGACCCAACCAAACAGCCCAGGTAAGCAGAGCAGTCCCAACAGGACGTCAGAACCGGACGCAAAATCACTGAAC